CCCCCCCCCCCCCCCCCCCCTCCCTTCCCCCTCAACCACAAAGGCGGCGCCAAGTGCCCTCTCCCGACCCATTCGGCCGACGACTACGGCGGTGACTTGCCCGTCCCTCGCGCATACGGCCCTCCTCTCCCTCCTGGGCTCCGCCTCGGTCGAAAAGACCCACGACTGGGCCGCTGTCGATTGCGCTGCCGAGGCGGGCGAGAGTGCCTGCACCAGCGGCGGCGAGACGGAGTTGGCGCTTGCACCGGCTGTGTCCACGGCCATGAAAAGAGGCGCTCAGATTGTTCCTTGCACCGTTCTTGGCGGCAGCGGTGTAGATGGGCGATTCGCGCTGGCCAAGACGGCCGCCGCGTGGGGCCTTTGGAAGAGACCTGGGGGAGTTGTCGTGGTCTGCGCACGGCCGGTGGCGGTGCCGTCAACCGAGGACTCGGCCTCGATGCTCAAGTATGCGGAGACGGTGCAGGCGGCGGCCGCCAGGGTGCGCTCGGAGCACTGCGACGCTTTCTTGTCTGGCTGAACTACCGTCTGTTGTTGCTTGTCCAATCGCATTTACGGGTTTTGTAGCTTCAACAGGGCGCACGAGCGCAAGTTCATGCGTTAACACCGGGTGCTTGTACGTTTATGGGTGAAGTCGTTGTTCGGACTTTTTTTTTGTGCTTCGTACGCGCGACATGGGTCTGAACCCGCGTCTTGTGGGCCTCTCGCTGGTTCACAACAATGACAGGATCATGTTGGTTTTTAAGAGTTTCGCCCACGCGCAGGACGAAGAAAAGTGGGACTCTGCAGACTGTTGTCAGACTTTTCTCATGGATGTAGTGTTGCGCAGCGACACTACTTGATGTGGGGAGAGTGTGGGCCGTTTTCGTGAGACGTGCGGTTGCTGTGTACGGTTCCGAGCATCAGAGCAGCGTAGTGGTTGCAGTGAAAGAGGGGTTACGTTTTTGGAAGCATTCAAGACCCCCATGAAGTCCGAACAGAAAGCAACTTAGTCTGGCGTCCCTGAAGCCGGGTATGACCGTGATTTTGTGTCGTGTGTTGGTTAGGCGAGTCGATGCATGATGCATGGGGGCAATATTTGGTTTGGCGACATTGTTTGCACAGCAGTTGGGGTCGGAGCAAGCAAGGAAGACCTCTCTCGATGTCTTGTGGTGTGACTGAACTTGTGTTTCGTGTGAGTATTTCTGTCGCCATCAATTCTATGCACCTTTTGAAGTCATGTCGTAATGAATACCGTATGTTTGACACACCAGCCGCCGGGGTCACAGCTGTCGGCAAAAGGGGGGCCTTGATTCATGGTGCAGAGAATCCAACACGTGATGATCACGCCGGGCGTGTGATGCCACCGGCAAGGTACGCGAACTATGGTGGGAGTTGCGGCTGACGTGTGTCGTCCATACGGCAAGCTTGCCAGCTCTTCGCGAGCAAGAGGGCCAGTGGCATGAGACTTGCGAAATGTACGACCGACGGCCGGGGAGAAGATGGTTCTTGGACCATGGATAGATTGAGGTAGCGCTTTCTGAAAGCCCTGGCCAAGTCTCCCTGCTTTGGAACAGCCGGCGTCAACAAACAGCGGGCCCTACTGTCTATTTCGCTCGAGCGTCCCGTGCAGCAAACATAACCAGCAAGGCGCACTCTGGTTCGTCAGCTAGAATTTCTCCAAGCGCGTTGCGAATTTCGTTCCCGTTGTCTTCGTGCTGAGCCCTCAAGCAAGTGGCGCGGGTTCACGTATAGGTCCCGAAACACAACAAACCATCATGGTAAAATATCCTGTAGTCGCGTTCAACGAGACGCCAGAACACAGCAATACCCCTTGACACTAGCGACGAACTGGCTCGTTCATGCCACCCACTAGACACAAACAAAAACCATTTCGCTTTCACGCCGTTGTGCCTCCCGTCAAGCGGCCCGGTCAAGAACCAACAACAGCAGGATTCGTTCTGCACCGGTCTCGCCATCTCCTCGCCTCGGCCTATTTAGACTACCATGTGGATGCCTCTACGGAACGGGTTACACTACAAACTCAGTATCATACGAATTTTCAAGAGACTGCATCTACTGCTGCTGCGCCTGTTCGTCCCGCTTGGCCTTTTCCCGGGCCATCCTCTTCTCCATCACCCTCTGAAACGCTTCGTTCCTCCTCATGAAGTCTTCCTCTCGCTCCTTGTTCCCCTCCTGCAGACTCTTCCACAAGCCCCCCTTCTGCTTCTCCGCCAGCGGCTTGGAGCCACCGCCGCCCTTGCCCCCGCCCTTGCCCCCCGCCGTGGCCGCCGCCGCCGCCGCCATGCCGGGGGACAGGGTCTCCGGCGCGTCCCCCACGATGTCCTTGCTTGTCAGCATACCCCCCATCCCAGCTGCGGGGCCCCCGGCGCCGACGACCGGGGCGATCTGCCGCACCAGTCCCCCGAGACCCTTGCTTTTCTCCGCGTCCTCCTTTTGCCTCACGGCGTTCACCTTGGAGCGGAAGTCGGCGACAACGGCGTTGGAATCCTCGCCCACGTGTGGCCGCAGGACGTCGCGGAAGTCGGCAACCCCCTGCGAGGAGAGGGGCAGGAAAACGCGGCGGGGTGGTGGTGGTGGTGATGGTGTTGATGTTGGCGCGTGCATGCTTGTGGCTTCGGGCGCAGCCATGCAAGGAAATCCCTTTTCGGTTGGTGTTTCTCTTGATCGAACCAAAATACATCAAACATGCCAAAATGCCCCTCGGAGCAGGCCAGTGACACGCACAATAGAACATTGACGAGTAGAAAGCAGCCGATGACAGATGACAACCGCGTGTTGTTAAAACAGGACCAACGTAGGGGGGGGGGGGCGGGGGGAGCACGGCACACACAGCAATCTCCCACACATTTGTCGTGCGATGCCCCCTCATGGATGTCCACCAAGCGGCCGCGCTGAAGCAACAAGCTCGATACAGCAGTAGGATATCCAACAACGCACCAACCAACCCGAAACAACTACTGCACTTCGATAACCGTGCGCGCTAGGAGGAACTGCCAAGACTCAAAGTCACCTGTGTCGCCAACGCCCTAAGGAATGGAGCCAAGTCGTACAAGGCGGTGTCCGCGGTGGGATCCGACCCATCCTCAAGCGAAAATGCCTTCACCTTGATGGCGTTCTCAGGCTGGAGGGGGTGGGGGGGGAGGGAGGGGACGTGTTTGGAATCACGGATTGCCATTCTCTTGTTCTTGTTCAGGTGAAGTGCCGGCCCAGACAAGAATCGCACCTTCTTGGTGAGGATCAAGCCCACCCATCGCAGTCTCTCACGGCCAACCTGACGACTGCCGCGTCAAGCAAAATAAACCCTCTTCGCGAAATGCAGCCATCGACGCTCGCCACTACAACGTCGGAAAATATGCAACGAATACAAGACGCGGCACCGGCGGCAACCGACGCAGGTGCCCATGTCCAGAATACGATACTAGCAAATACATACGCGCAATGAAATTTGTACACTGACGTGATATCAGTGTTCAGTCGGGCAGCGTGGTGGATGCCCACTAACGAAAGAAAGACACACCTGCATGGAGATGCAGTCGGCGTTGTCGTCGATAATGAGCGTTTGCTCCAGCGGGCGGTTGAGGGCGGAGAGATCCTTGACGTACTTGCCGTCGATGTACCTAGTGCCGTCCCGGTAGACCCTCTGGCTGATCGTCCCCTGTGGGTCCATCTGGGTGATCCACTGTTTTTATCGCGAGGAAAGGCAGCGGCGGCGGTACGTTGTGGCACAGGAAGCAATAATACTTTTAGGAAAAAAATATATATATATACTTCTATAAGTAGTAAATAACTAACATGAGAAGTTGTCATCCAGACTGTCGTGAGGAAATATCCTCTGTGCGCGTCGCCCCCGTTTCCTGCGTCCCCAGCAAAAAGGTCTGAAGTACGTCGTAATAAAAACGCGTTCGCCCAACGGATGACTATTTTGTCAGCGTTTCAAAGATCGCCAACCCGTCCTCGGGTGTAGCACGGGGGGGACGTTTCCGCAGCCACGATCGTGCACTCTACGTTTTGCTCACAGGGGACTACTGTGCGGCGCGCGTATTTCTTGAGACCACAGGAAATCACTCTTTTCGAATAGGACAAGTTTGGCGATCGGACAAAGTTGTGCCCTCAGAGAGCAGTGCCAGCAAGGTGTAAGGATTGCGTGTCCAAAACGTGGAGGGATATATGTGCCACAGATGTTGGTCGCCGCAGTAAGAGGAGTGCATAGATTCTCCGTAACCAAAAGCCACTGGTTGGATATAATAGTACCATCTAACAAAAACAAATAGACAGCACACGGGGCAGAAGCAACAGCAGTATCTTGCTGCGCCCAGGTATATACCACCTGCCGACCCAGAATGGCATCAAAAGATTGACACTCGAATACATCTCTAGTCGTGTGGGCGTTTGCGGCATATGTCGGGATCCTATCTACGTCTGCCTCCTTCTCTCCCTCCCTCTCTCTCTGTGTATGTGTGTCCGTACCCACCTCATCCGCCAAGCCCCCCATGCTGTCCGTGAAGACGACGATCTCGTACAGCTGCGACATCTCCTTCAAGAACGCATCCAGGCCTGGTCGCTTGGCAACTCTCCACCTGTTTCAGGAACAGCACACACACAGAGAGAGATGAGACACGAGACAACGAAATAATGAGAACAGCGGCACGATGCGTGCGGCTAGGCGGTGGTCACAAACTTGCCTGACAAGAAGGATGTATGATGGAGGGTCAAGCCGCTCTCGAGACTTTCCCAAAGACGACCACCCGGCATCATACTCTACACACAAAAACAGTTTAAGCCCTATGCACAGCACAGACGGTTCCACCTTATGTATGACACGAACAGCGCACGCATGAAAATCAGTCTCTGGCTTGCGAGCATGCACAGCTCCTCAAGCTCACCCTTTCTTGCGGGTGTAGATGGTGCCGAGGAGGGTTCCCTCAAGGTCCAGCACAAGCGTCGGGGGCGGCAACGCTCCCGGGGGCAGCGGGCAGTCTAGCAGGAGCTTATCTTTCACGGGGCTCGAGTACTGGGGAGGAAGGGGGGGGGGCGAAGCATGCACGAACAAAATCCAATGATCCATCGAGGCGGGCAAATAATTGACCGACGATCCGATGGGCGACCAGTGACTCGACGAACCAGAGGTGCTCTGTTTGATGCCTATGAGTGCATCTCGTAGAACCATGGAATCAACGATGCAGAGTAACAACCAATGGCAAACAGGCTTGGAGGCATTGTGGTCATGCAAGGTCATCGTATCGCCTTGTAGGCATCTGCACCAGTGCTTCCGATCCAGGGCTCGCCCCTGCTGGCATCGTTGCTCCGACCAAATAACCGATCACCACCACCAAATAAACCGTGACTCCAAGTCACCCCCAATCGACTATGCTGGCCCATGACAGCAAACGAAAATAAACACGTGTGAAGCTGCACGACCACACCTAAGGCGCACTCGTCTTGCTATTCTACAAAACGCACCCCCCCCCCAGTAGTGCAGAAGGCTAACGGAGGCCTGGAGGGGAACGTCAAGCAGATGTGGGAAGGGATTAGTGGGATGGTAAAAAAGACCGCGCAAGGGGGGATACAGGGGTAGCAACGTTGCGAGGTGTGAACGGTGGACTAGTCAGCAGTGGGGAGGGAAAAAGGGAAGTTCTAGCAGGACACTACAAGAGACTTGGGGTGCCTTCGGAGAATGAAGCTTTTGACCAAGTGTTGAAGAAGGAGGTGGACGCATGGGCCCAGAAAGAAGAAGAGACATCGAAGGCAGACGTTGGGAACGTAGAACTAGAAAAGGAGTTCACTGAGGACGAGGTTGAGGCGTGTGTGAACAAGCTGCAGTGCCACAAAGAAGCAGGGGCGGATGGGATAGTCAACGAGTTCATGAAGTTTGGGGGAAAGGGGATGATCCAGCTGATGGTACTGCTGTACAACTGGGTGTGGAAAAACGAGTATGCGCCAAGCAGATGGAGGGAAGGAGTGGTTGTGAACTTGTTTAAGAAAGGAGACAAGACTGACCCAGGAAAATACAGGGGTACCACACTGTTGAGCACAGTAGGAAAAGTGTTCTGTAAGCTGCTGAACGATAGGATAGGGGAGTATTGGAGAAGGAACGTAGCATTAGTGAGGGCCAGGCAGGTTTCCGACAGAAGAGGGGGTGCGTAGACCACGCGTTCACGGTAGGGAGAATCATCCAAGGTAAAAAGAGGGCGGGAAAGCCGACGGACTGCTTCTTCCTGGACGCTTCTTCCTGGACGTGAAAAAGGCATACGATACCGTATGGAGAAATGGGCTGTGGAAACAATCGTCCAAATACGGGATCAAGGGGGAAATGTGGAGAGTGCTGAAGAAGATGACAAAGTGTCCGAAAAGCGCAGTCATGCTAGACGGAGAACTGTCTAAATTCTTCGACATTGAGCAGGGGGTCCCACAAGGTTGCCCGCTGTCCCCAACATTGTTCCAGGTGTTCATCAACGATCTGTTGGAAGTCGTAGAGGCAGTCCGGAAGGGAGTAAAAGTAGGGGACACAGAAACTTCGGTGTCAGGAATGCTGTTTGCGGATGATTTTGTTGGTATGTCGGACACCCCTGAGGGACTGCAACTGCACATTGACGCGGCGAAGAAGTTTACTGATAAGTGGAGATTGTCTGCCAATGTTAAGAAGAGTGCCGTCATGGTATGCAACGAGAACAAGGAGGAACCAGTAGAACATAGATGGAAGTGGGGGATCGAGGAGATTGCAGTAGTGGACCAGTACACATACCTCGGAGTAGAGATCGCAAAAGACTGTTCGTGGAATGCACACATGTCCAAGGTAGAGGGAAAGGGCAAAGCACGAGCAGGGAAGCTGCACCCAATACTCGCAAACCGGCACCTCGATACACGCATCAAATTGACTGTTTTGAAGAGCGTAATCGTACCGCCGCTAGAGTACGCCGTGAGAAGTATGGGAAGGAAATAAGAACATAGTAAAAGAACTCGAGGCGGCGCAGATGAAAGCAGCGAAAATCATCCTAGGATGCTCCAAGCGCACAAGGAATGCAGCCGTCAGGGCAGAATTGGGAATCCAATCCCTACGGCCGGGAAGAGACGCAAGGAAGCTGACATGGCAGTATCGCATGTGCGGGATGGGAGAGGAGAGGTTGCCGAGAATAGCATGGGAGGCGAAGTGGGCAAACAAAAAAAGGGGTAGACAACCCAACCCACGGAATGGGTCAAGGTTGTAGAGGACGTATAGAAGGGGTTCGACATCGACGAAGATGAAACGCTGGAAACGGAGGGTCTACAGGGGTTCAAGGAGAAGATATCTGTTGCTTGTGCCGAGAGCGAAGAACAGAATCTAAGGAAAGAAACCTAGGATAAGGAGGGTCTAGAAGTGTACGGAATGTTGAAAGAAGGAATAGGGTTCAAGGATTACCTACATGGACCAATGGATGCAGGGACAAAGCTTAAGGTCAAATTCAGGACCGGGGACATAGGCCTTCGAGAACGTCGACGGAGACATCGGACGGTAGACGACGAAGACGACAAGTTCAAATATGATTGCGGCTTCGAATGCGAAGACCGTGTTCACGTAGTCGCGGAATGTCAGTTGTACGAAGAGGAGAGGGAAGCGTACATGACTGAGCTGGGAAAAATACAAGGGAGATACAGGGAGATATTTGAGGCATGGAATAGAGAGGAGAGGACGGTAGTTGAATTGGGGAGTAGGAAGTGGTTTGAAAAGGCGGGAAGGGATATCGTTAGGATAGACAGACTAGGGAAGACATTTTTGAGCCACCTTTGGCAAAGTAGGAAGGAACGATTGGCCATCGGTGATCGGTCCTGTGGGAACAATGCTCCGTCCTCTCGAGGACGCGTGGTCAATGGTCTAACCGCTAAGGCATGCAAAACACAAGAGTACGCCCCCCCCCCCCCCCCCTTCCAGAAAAAATTACTGCAAGTACGAATAAGCGCCTTCTGTGGAGACAAAAACCACAAGGGAGGGTCCCTCTCACCAGTGCCCACTTGCCCATGAACCAGATGAAGAAGTGGTCGATGGGACTGTCGTCCAGCAGCTTCCTCATCTCGTCAGGCTTCAGCTGCCAAGCGATCCCCAACGCCGCCAACCCCACCGACGTCCCCGCGACGAGCTTGGTCCCCCAACCCCACTTCCCTTGCCCCTTCGCCCCTCCCGCCCCTGCCGCGCTTGCTGCTGCTCCCGCGCCGCCTGTCCGGCCGGCTCCCGCTCCCGCGGCAGGCGCGGCCGCTTTCGCAGTCGCAGCGGCAGCCGCCGTCTTCGCAGTGACGCTAGCTTTTCTGGCCTTCCTTGCGGCAAGCATCTCGCTCTTCGTGAACCCACCGCCGCCCCCTACAGGAGGCGGCTTTACACTTGCCGCTGCCTCTGCTGCCGCGGCCTTCGCCGTGCTTGTTGTTGTCGCCGCTGCTTCTCTTGCTGCTGCGCCGCCGGTTTTGCCGGTTTTGCTGCCTTGCTTTCCAGCCTTCGACACCGGCATCGCCCCTCTGGCTTTTATCGCCGCCGGTCCCTTTTTGGGCGTCCCACTCCCCTTCTTCCCTCCTCCTCCCCCCCCTGCGGCTTTCTTGGCAAGAAAGCGTCGTGTGGCTACCCTGCCACTGCAGCTGCGTAGGGGGGGTACGTAGCCGGGACACGGGGGCGGGGAGATAGCGTAAATAGAGGGGAAGCGTGGGCCAATTTGGGGCGGGAGGGGGGGAGAAGAGAGTAAGCCTAGGGCGGGAAGGCAAAATAAGACCGGGATGCTTACCCTGTACGTTCGATCCCTGGTGGGTGCGGGGGACAACTGCCGTCGTATGCCATGTGGCCACGCTCCGAGTGTCTTACTCAACAATGACCAAGTGATGATGCTCTTTGGAACCTGGTGGTCTGAGAAAGGTATGGTGTTATTTACTGAGTACAATGGCCGGAGGAGCGTCCTGCACACCGCCCCAAGGTGCTCGGGCCGGGTGCAGCATTTGCACATGCCGGGCGCGGTGCATGTTCGCCCATATCCTATGTAGCTGCTTCGGCCAAGCGCAGTTCAGCACTGCTACAATGCTGCTCTTGGTGTCGGTCCAATACATGTTCCCTACAAGCAGAAGGGAAGTTGTTGCGCCTGGGCACCGCAATACTTGCAAGGGTACGCAAAACATCATCTACATAGCGTGTCTGGTATCTGCAAAATCGTCGTGTGCTACTGTAATACCTACCAGAGCGATGAACGCACTCATTGCGATAGATTATTCGTCTACCACGCTGCGCTGCATGCCATCCACATTTCGGAGTAGCGTGTACCCGCAATAGGTACAGGAGGTACATCTACCTACTGTGATCTTGAAATGCGCGCGAGTCGCGTCGAACAAATCATGCTCTCGAGTCTGTACTATTCTGCAGACGTGCTTGACCCACAGCGGGAACGCGTTACAATACACGTTCACACTGCTGAGGTTGCAACCGAAAGTTTTTCGACTTACATTGCTAGAGAGCTGATTCCTTCGTTTGTTCAGCACTGCTGCTGGTTAGCCTCAACACGAGCCACAGCTATTTCTAGGTATCGTGCGCGGAAAATCCGATCGGCGAGCGTACAGCCGCAGGTGCATAACTGCTGTTGTTCTTCCCGCTGGTGTTGACACAAACAGAGCATCCTACAAGTGGGTACCAAAATTATCGGGAAAATTAACTAGGAACTCTGCTAGCCTTCTATCGCATGAAAAACCGTCTCCACACACTTAACGTTTGTCACTCCACCCCTGTATTTCAATTTCGACCGGCTGGTGGACCTCTCAAGGACGTACTATTTCCGCGTCCACAGGGGCAGAGATGATCGATCATCACAGGGAGAGAGCACACACTTTTGTCGTGGAAGCAATCCCCACACAGGCAACTCACCTCGGGAGAAGCGTGCCAACGCGTCCCAGAAGCATCGCGTATCGTGTTTTTCAAGACGTTGTCCCTCACGACGCGGCGGCTCTATGCACCACGCCTCTGCGTTGGCTGTTGCTGATTGCTGGTGGGAGTCTCGTGCAGGTTGCATATGGGGGGTGCACATATATAGAGTGCGTACATGCAGACGCCAAAATGACACACGGCACCCCGAGATTCGACGACTGCTCCCAGCAGCACTGAGTAGTGCGGTCAGTCTGCTTTTGCTCGGCTTTGCGCGTCAAGAAGAAGACCAATACGACGAGGCTGGCCGCGGCCAAAGCAAGAGTTGAGCATCGGCGAATTCATTTCTTCTCGCAGGCCTGTGTGGGACACCTACGCGCTCTCTCATTCGTTCATTCGGTAGACGGCGAAACGGGGAGCTTCCACAACAAAACGCGGAGGAATCTCTGATCCCCGCATCCCCCCTGACACCTGCTTTCCTTGTGGGCGGCACCAGGAGTAGGCGAGCGCTAACATGGCTCTCGGCTTCTTCCTTGCAACAGCAGTGGTAGCAGTAGCAGTAGTCTCCAGCGCACCAGTCGGCATCGGCGATGGAGCTGGCGTACGATTGGAGCACAAACAACGGAACCTGCAACAAGATGGTCCAGCTTCGAGCATGTTTCAACCAGATGAGCACGGGCTCAGCGTAGGAGCGCACAAGGACCAGAGCTTTGCCGCACCGGAGCAGGTTCACATTGCTCTGGCGCGGTCTGATTCGCCGGAGGAGTACGCTGTCACGGTTGCCTGGGTGACCTGGCCCAACACTCAATCGCGAGTGGCGTGGGGATCGTCCGTCGACAACCTCGGCAACATTGCAGACGGGACCTCAACTAGTGAGTCAAGGCCGTTACAGCTAACAGCTAAAGCAGTGTCAGTAGAGGCGTTACGCCCAGCCGCTGTCTTGTGCTTCTACTGCCGTACACTGCTGCCAGAAGGCAGCTTACTGCTTTTGGTAGATTAAGTTGGCCGCATGCAAGTCCAGCGAGTGCTGGTACAATATCCGTGGGACGCGCGAAGGCATTGATGTTCCCTTCGACGTTCACGTTCACGTGTTCACAACAAAAACAACAGGCTAGATCGTTTGCCGTGCGCCTTATCCGTGCAACACGTGGTAGAGTGGCGTGACGCCATTTCGGCCTTGAGCCTCCTGCTTCGCGCACGCGCACCAACTCTCTCTATTTACTGTTCTACTGTTAAAAGGCTGCATCGTTCTCGACTACAAAATGACCTACGCCGTGTACCACGGCCTGCAAAAGAGCAGACCACTTGTTGAAGAATGACCAGTCCTTCCTTCTGTACGACTATTATGTAGGGTATGAATTTTTGCTCAGCAAAAGTTCAGTGATGTAGATAGTTTACATGCGTAATGTACAGCATTATGTAGTTCATTATGTAAAGACCGTTGAGGTTTTGCACGAGGCTATCACCTCCTAACCTCTGGCGAGTTTCGTCGGCGTTTGATCGTTTTAGTTGAGTTTTCCACCAGCAGCCGTGACGCGGCAACAAACTCCTCCACCCACGAGAAGCTCCCTGCCTCTGCAATAGCCTAGCCATGGCTACTGCTGAACTTGCAAACCCTCATGCGCTTGCCTCACAACTTAACATACACAATGACAACAGCAGTAGCCGCCGCAAAACAAAAATGTTCCGGCGTCTTTATATTCTTATATATGCTTACCGACCCCGTTCCCCTGCCGAACACGAACCGATCAGCCTACTCGGCCCGTCACCCGGGGCGGGCGGACTACACCAGCGGCTTCTTGCACTCAGCCACGCTGCAGGGCCTGGAGCCGTCATCGACCTACTTCTACTCTTGCGGCGACGACACTTTGGAGATGAGCTCTGTGAGGTCTTTCGACACACCGCCCAAGGTTGGCCCAGAGCAGCCTATCACCCTGGGCGTCTTGGGAGACTTGGGACAGACCGACGACTCAGCGTAAGTTCTGTGTTCTTGTTTTTTCGTTTTTTCGCGTATGAGCATTTAGAAGTTTTTTTCCTGTCTGTGTGGCCCCGCATCGGAGCTCTTGAGTTCGAGAGGCATGGATGGCCGTAGAGGGTAGTTTGGTACCTACGGACGATGCGTCGTGTATGGGATGACGAAAACGAAAATAAAATGCTTGACACTTTGTTGTTGCTGACAGCAGAAGCCGGTATTCTTTCCGCCCAGCGTGTGGCGGGTGTGGTCGCTTTTTTGCCGAGAGGGTGCAACTCCTGAGTGAATGCTGTGGCGGGATGGCCTCTCAAAGGAGACCTTGCTTGTGTTCTCTATATGAACTAGGCAGAGAAACTAAATAGTGCCTGTCTACGCTCGGCAACAGGAAAGGCAAAGGTTTCAGGTGTGTTCTTGCCAAGACAGCATTAGCAACATTGTGCTAGCGCGCTCTTGTATTCTCGGGGCAGTGTCTCCATGGCGCGACCAACCCCCTCCGATGTTCACACGATTCTCATGTCTGGTTCGTGTCCTCCTGCCTCCTTGCTTTCTTCCTTCCTCCCCTTTGGCACCCCTCTGACTTTTTTTCTCATTTCTTGCCGGCCTTTCTTTTCTCGCTGGTCTTTGTGGCTTGTTGCCCGTGTCTGCTCTGCCCCCCAGCGCGTCGCTTGCGGCCATCGATGGCGACAATTCCATCGATCTCGTCCTCCATGCCGGTGACCTGAGCTACGCAGATTGTGACCAGGTGAGTCGGCCATGCCATACCCGCCTCTTGTCCTCCTTTTGTCCCATCGTACTACATGGCATCACTTGCTGTGTGCAATTAGTACTTTATATCTCAGATATCACCCCCAGGAAGGAATACGACTCCACCGAAATTCTGAAGTTCTTTTGGCTATTGTCCTATGGTTCGAGGGAGTGGAGATGGCCCACATGACCAAGCCGGGTGCCGTGTAATTTATCGTCTACTTGGAAGTATGTAGTAGCCGACCGTTATGTGGGTTCTGTCATGACGTTGTGTCACCGACCTTAACATCTTAACATCTCTCTTTCTTCTCTTGTCACTCGTAGCCGGTGTCACCCAGATTGACGTGACTGTGTTTGGTGGTAGCGTTGCCCCCCTTAGCCGAGCACCGCTACTGTCGTAGAGCAACCCTCCTTCGACTGCTGCCGCTCGATTTGGACGACATTGTGCCCCCATCTTGCCGAACGGTTTACTCCTACATAGTGTCCACCTAGATTAGCCCCGTTGTGACTGTTGTGTGTGTGTAGCATGCGCGCTCTGCCTTCTTCATTCCGTGCTTATCTCACGACACCTTCGCCTCTATGGCCACGCTCGCCCGCTGCGGGTGCTGCTTCCGTTGTCGGTCGGAAAACGAACAAAACAAACAAACCACCAGCCTCGGTGGGACTCGTTCATGAGGATGCTCGACCCCGTAGCGAGCCGCCTGCCGTGGATGGTCGCTGCTGGCAACCACGAGATCGAGACCAACGGCGCCTACCCCGGCGCCAAGCCTTTCCTGGCCTACGAGAGCCGCTTCCGGATGCCGGCGGTGGGAGCTCCGACGGACCTCGGGCGCGGGTGCGGCGCCGGCGGCGGTCTGGACGGCGACGGCTACCTCTGTGGCGAGGGTTGGGGCGCGGACGAAGCGGATGCCGCGGCGATCGAGGAGGCCGAGCGGCTGTCGTCACCGGTGGGTACGCGAGGAGGGGAAGGGGTGGCGGCCGGGAATACCGTGGGGGCGGCCGTGCGCCAGGCGGCGAGGGGAGTGCGCATGGCGTTCGATGCGACGGGGGAAGGGAGCGAGGACGAGCAGCCGCCGGTGTCTTGCTGCCCGTCGGAGTGGTCCGGGACGTACGACTACGGCAACAGGTGTGGTGCCCGGGGACGTGGTTTTCTTATTTGCTTCTGTTCGTAGGCAAGGGGGATATGATTTTATGGTCCATCAGTCTTCGATTCGTTTTTTTTCTGACCCTCAAAGGTTGCTGTTGCTGTCGGTCCCTACTATCCTGAACGCACGGTTGACTGCCTACCGTACTGATGTGCGTTGTGCGAGTTGGACCATGTTCTACAGTATCGTTTGTTTTCTTGTTGTCTTTTTCTCGCACCCCGTGGCGATATGACCGATACAAGCGTGCGTACATGGATCAAAATGACTTCATTCTTGTCCTTTTTTGAGGCTCAGTCCTTTCTTCTCTATTTGTTACATTCGCGCGGGCGGCAATTGTGTGGTTCCGGTCTCTTTCTGGCTGTGCATAGCGGTTACATTTCTAGCGTGCGCCTCCCGCTTTCAGTAACGCTGATTTGTTTTTCTTGTTTCCGCCGTCGTTTGTGGCCGCCTTGCCTTGCCCCAGCTTTTATTCGTTCGATGTCGGTCCGGTCCACGTGGTCGCGCTTAACCCGTACACGGCGACGGGCGAAAACTCCGTGCAGTACTCGTGGCTGCAGAAGGTGCGGTGAAAGACGGTCCATGCCACAGGGCGCCTCGTGTGGTGGCCACTCTTGCAGTCCTATGATGCGCTGCACTGGCCTTGTCGCAGCACAAGGGAGTTGAGGAGGCTAGTCGGCCCGTGAGAGCATGCTTGGGGACGAGAGCGTGAATACCGACCCTCACAATTGCCGCGAAGTTGCCCTATTTGAATGTGGCGCAAGTGCGTAGAGGTGTAGTTTGTGCCTACGGGTGTCGTTGTTTCCAACCTTGTAGCGGCCCGCCCGCGACTCAGCCCGGTGTAGTTCATACTCTTCCCGTGCCCACTTCCACTCTGCCCCCACGCACGATAACCCCAGCCTTTCCGGTGTACGCGCGCGCATCCTCCCCCCCGTTCCGTCCCTCCTCCCCGTCTTGCAACTCCTCATCTCCGACCATCTAACGTGTGCTTTTTATCTCGTCGTCGTCGCCCTGCTGACGTCTTTTTTTGGAACTGTTTGGCGGGCGGTTGGGTCACACAGGATCTGGAGTCAGCAGACCGCGCCCTCACGCCATGGTTGGTGGTGATGATGCACTGCCCTTGGTACAACTCCAACCTCGCTCACCAGGGCGAGCGCCAGGCGGAAACGGCGATGCGCGCCATGGAGCCTCTCCTCCACCAGCATAAGGCCGCCGTGGTCATCACGGGGCACGTCCACGGTGCGTTGTCGTGTGTTGGTGTCACGAGCTGGCGTGGGGGGTGTATTATAGTGTAGTTTATGGTTCCGCCGCAAGTGCAAGTGTGTTGCTGCGCATTTCGTCCGGGGATATTCATTGTGCTCCCAGGATGTCGTGCAAAAGCGTGATGTGTGTGTGCAGAACACGCGCCACCGCGTGCGCATCTGCACACATGAAACCTTCGGGAACGCCTTCTCCTCTTCTTCGGCGACTGCCTTTTGGTGCAATGGACGGACCGCGACACCAACCGCCGCAACAGCTGCAGCCGAAACCGTCACAGCCGACGCAGCCTTCGGGCAAGACGGGCAAACACCATCCAGGATCACCACCAGGCCAGCAGCAACCCGCCTCCGCAGCACATCTTCAGTGCACCTTCAGAGCTGTTCATGACGACGAACCAGCCATCCTGCAGTCGACACCACTCAAATCACCGTACCAATCGGTCCGCAGTCTTGGGCCAAGTGAGGGCCAAACTGGAGTTTTCCTTGGTCCCACATGGCGCAATCATGTTCACAACATCAAACGCTCCCAGACAAGCAAGCACGTGACGATAGGTACAGTACGGCATTCCCCGTCCGTCCTTGTGCCGTCTCCTAGGCTAGGCTCGATGATGTCCGAACACAGGCATAGAAACAGCGGAGGCGTGATCCGCTGTTGATATGTCCTTGTTTGGCGAAACGTTGGTCGTTCTTCCTTTCAACGTCTCCTAGGCTCGATGATCGCCAAAAAGGAACACAAACAGCGGAGATGCTGTTTGTATTTCTTGTGGCGATCATCGAGCCTAGGAGACGTTACAAGGACGGACGACGAATGACGCACCCATCGTCGCGTGATTGTCTGGGAGCGCTTGATGTTGTGAGAATGGTTGTCCATGGAACAAGGAAAAATCCAGTTCGCTAGTCCTCACCTGGCCCCCAAGACTGCGGACCGATTGGTATGGTGATTGGAGTGGTGTCGACCGCAGGATGGGTGGGTCGTCGTCATGAACAGCTCCGAACGTGTACCTGCAGACATTTTTGCCGAGGCGGGTTACTGCTGGCCTGGCGGTGGTCTTGGATGGCGTTTGCCCGTCTTGCCCGACGGCTGCTTCGGCTGCGAGGGTTTCGGCTGTAGGTGCTGCGGCGGTCGGTGCGTGAGTGGCCGAAGAAGAATAGAAGGAGTTTGATGCCTAGATCAAAAACGGGATGTTTGGCGTGTGTGCTGCAAGCATCACGCTTTGCACAGTGTCCCGTTGATGAAATTATCGGGGAAGATGGTGTACTCCCCCACAGCGTGTTCACCGGTGGTTACTTGTCTGGGCATTGCGCTGTAGACATGTTATGTTCCCAAATGCGGCGGAATAGATTTCTGTTGCAGAACTCCAGTTGCAGACCCCCCGCATGCTACTGAGGCAGATTTGGTTCATCACTCTGGTGTGTGATAAAACTGGCGTAGTGTGCGTGGTGTGTTGTGATTTATCGCTCTCGCCAGAATTTTCTCCGTTGCCCCTCTGACCGTGTGTATCATTTGTTTCTGTGGGGACTTGCGAAGCTTTCGCGCGTGCATGCAAACACCACTCCAACATGTTTCGGTGTGGTACTCCTCTCAGATTCAGTCCATGCAGTCAGTGCTTCATGGGGGAGAGGCTCTAGGTCTAACCTGCCTGGAACATACCAGGACGTATCAAGCCCCGTTCAGCGCGTTGAACAAACGTGACGAACCTTTAGTGCTGTTCCGAGCGCGAAATCCGTGGCACGGGTGCTTTTCGTGCTTGAATGTCGCGATCGAAACAAGAGAAATATCACTCATTTCGTCCGCCACAATGGTGCCGCTCCACAGCATATCAAAGCTGCCCTTTAACAGGCGGTGTGTGATCGTGATTCGTGATTCTTGATATGATCTCGTTGACGGGGTGGGTCTGCCCTCTCGCCGTGCTTCTCGCCGCTATTTCTCTCCGTCGCGTCCCCCCCCACCCCCCTGGGTAGCGTACGAGCGATCGCACCCGGTGGTGGACTTTGAGCTGGCCGAGGACGGGCCTATCCACCTCGTCGTGGGCGGCGCGGGAAACCGCGAAGGGCACGCAGGTACGAAGGGAGGGAGGACGGAAGGAAGGGGAAAATGGTCGGTAGGTCAAGGGCGGTCGACCGATCGGTCGATGAAGCGGTTCGCCATGACGTTCTCCTGGACGTACACTTCAGTAGTGTCTGGAACAGTTTGAACGGCACGCTGTCCACGCAGGGCACGCACGAACGTACACGCTTTTTTCGTGTTGGGCAGCCGCCACGTTTTGGGGTGGTCTATGGTGGAAGACCGTACGACAACAGGGCAAAGTTACCCCGTTTGCTGGTCCGCCTAGTGCGTCGGCAGGTAGAGCGTTCTTCTGTACAGTTGAACGAGCCTCTTTGCTGCGTCAATAGCTTGGTCCTGGATAGAAAAGTTGGCCCTGTTTCGGCCAGCGACACGCGCCTCCGAGCGTTGGTCGCTACGAGGGCTCCGCGCGGAACTTGTGTTAATGGCCGCCTTGCCTGCCTCTCGTTCACTCTCTTCGCACGGACTGATTGCTCCGCGGATCGTGTGTGTTTGACGCCTGCTGGCGCGGTGTTGTTTTGGCCAAAGAAACCACACGCAGGCAGCGTGCTCATCTCACTACTTGTTCCTTTTGTGTATGTATTCAAGGATAAGCTCAGAAAGTTGATTCTGTTGTTTCCAGAGAGGTGAGGTACAGACGAAGAGGAGCACGTCCACTGCTACCTAATTTTTTTGCGTATCCTGCAACGTCATTGCTGTTGTAGTCCGCCCGCTCAGTAATAATGGGAAGGTACGCCAGCTCCACTTGGAGATGCCATAGCGACGGCGATGACCAACGACCACGCGCTAGACTAGGAACATGGATCTCGCACATGGAGGTACAAGAGCAGACGACGAAAACTGTCTGAAACGAAAAGTATTCGCGTTCCATCTACTGATCGTTTGGTTTCTGCTTCAACTTGTGTCTGCTCAGGTTCTTGTTCTCATGCTGTTTCTTCCCCCCGCTCGGATTTGACCCTGATGTGTTGCCCTTGTTCAGCCGACTTCTACCCTAAGCCAGAGTGGAGCGCCTTCCGTGACGGAACAGTGTACGGCTCCGGCCGCCTCTCCATCCGGTCTTCTTCGCTGGCCTTGTGGGAGTGGACAGTGAGTCAGAACAATCCAAAGGGAAAGGGGTAACTTGAACCGGGACGATTTTAATCTACTACTATCACTAAGGATCCTGTTTTGCCCGTAGGTTTGTCTTATTTGTGACTGACTTTGCAACAGCGACGGTCTTCGTTGGAAACCGAGGCGAAAAAAAATTACTTGAGTATTTTCAACTCAACATTTGTGTCCAACGTCAGTGTTACGGCAGCCGCGGGTAATATACTCATTGATTTGGTTATGTGATGGTTCACATGCCGGCAACTTTTTGTATTGAAGTCTAGCCCCATTTTGTGGCCCATGCGTCGTATGCTTTGTGTTGATAAAGCACAACAACAGCAGCTACTTCGAAAATCTTGAGGATTTCTCGCGATCTTTCTAGCAGGAAAGGCCTGAGTTCTCGACCCAGGACAGGTGACCCTCCCAAGCACACGCGAACACACACACAGGGCACCCTCCTTCCTAACTCTCTGCGTAGAGACGGGCGTACGCGGCATGGCTCACCGTCGGTTCTTGTACCACCACCTTGGGTTGCTGGTGTTTCCCCCTCTCCTTCTCCGGCGTATTCCAACAGGCTTCGACGAGAGACACCGCCGGCTTGCACGACGTCGCCTGGGTCTCCAACCCGTTCTCGCCGTACACCCCAGGGGAGGAGGACGGGGACGCTTCGCCGCTGAAAGCGACGGGCAGAAGAAGCGACAACGGTGGAGATTCTGCCGTGTCTGCTTCCCACGAGAGGGATAACCATGACCAGGAGGGTGAGGATGTGTCTAGGACCCGGGAGAAGGCAGGCCTCCGCATTCACGCCTTGCCCGAACGCCGCACACGGCGCGTGGCACGTGGCTGATAGGTTCGTTCCCTGTTGGCGTGTGGTGTTTTTGACTACATACAGCGACTTTTTTGGTTTGCTGCTGTTGTTGCTGTTTCACTGGGATCCTGCTGCGTGGGTTTCCATCGTTTGGGGATGCAGCGCTCTCACTCTGTGTTGTTTTCTTGAGGAATATTCCTAATTGTCTGTGTCGAGTGTTGTATAGTAACCCCACGTGGGACAGGCATTTTGGGGCCGATTTTGCCCTGCAATTTTGTACATATAAGAGGAGTGGTGCGATTTGTTGTGCGTTGGTTGTACTCAATCTTCGGGAGAATTGTTGCGGAGTTTCTCGTGTAACGAGTCGATTTCCCTCACAGCTCGTCCTTTGGCGCTCGTTCTCTAGGACTCGCCTGTAGAAGTCTGGTTTGTTTGTGTTTTTCGGGTGTTGGAGCAACCACTCAACCATTCGCAACGCAACGAGGGTCTCATCCGCGCCGGTATTTGTGTGGCGTTCTGTGTTTGGGGGCTGGGATTGCGCAGGCGTACGTACTCCAGACAGGAGTTAGGTCAAAGTGCTAAGACGGCCACCCTTTTGCAATTCTATACTTGTTGGTAAATCTATGTAGCCTGAGTTTGTCGTTTCTGTAGTAGCTGTCCTGGCCGGTCGCCCAGGTGTATACTGCTGTGTGTCCTACCCGCTGGGTACCGCCACGTTCGCGTACCCGACATTTGCTGGGGGTCCAACGTCCCACGGTGTAATACCAGGTAGCATCCGGGTACCCGTCTAACATTCTGCTCATTTTTGGGCTTAAACACTGGCCACAGGACGCACTTTGGCCGCAAAACTTCGAGCGAACCAGAACTAAGTGCTGTGTGTCGTAGTATCGTTCCCGATATTCCAAGCTCAGGTCGAAGTTCTGCCTCGCTCGCCTAACACGTACCGAATCAATTGAAACTACGTTGACAAACCCGAACAACGCGAGGCCGCGCTGCGAGATGCATTATTGCGCGAACATTACGGAGAGGAGGGTCTCTGGTTATTATATGCGTTTATTATATGCGTTCGTTCCAGTACGTCGCGTGGCCCGAAACACTGCACGAGAGTAGCAGCTTTCTATAACCAATCGGCGATGAGAACTTTGGAATTTATCTGAGACTAGCTGCGAACTCTACTAAGCGCAAAGTAGAGGCAGACAGACAGACAGAGACACGCCCTGGATACAACGATAGAAAGAAATCAGCTGCAGGAAAATCACCCGGCCGGCTCGAGGGAAGGCGCGAAAACGGTCAACTCCCAAGTGACTGGGAACAACAAATTCCGCAGGTCAACCAGGATTATCTATGTTGTATGGGTGTATCACGTGCCAGGCAGGGTCAAAGTCGCCGCAAGAAGTTTGTTACACCGCCAGCTAGTCTAGGTGCCTGTGTGGTTGGGGATATCCTCGAACGAACAAACACAAAACACACGGAAAAAAAAAAAAAGAAGAAACATGCACAGCTCGCAGGGGCTCAGTAGAATGGATGAGCCCGTGGGGGGCCCGACCGAGGACCGAGGACATGTGTGTGTGCAGTGTGACCACAGCTCACCACCGCAGCCTGCAGAAAGCCTCTCCGTTTCTCCCTTGCTACGGAGGCGTTGCGGCTTGCGTCGATAACCTCAGCAGGTAAGTGCATGTATGCATTACGTCGGATGGAAGCACGATCTCACAAGAAGGTTGGGTGGTCTAGAAGTTGTAAAGAGCGGCGAGATTGATTGCTGCTAAATAGCTTATTATAGCTTTACCGACCAGTGCAGGAACACACTCCTTGGATTCGCGTCGGAAGTATGCACGCAGCAGTGGTGTGGTTGCGATGCGAACATACGAGCAGTGGGATACCTTGCCCGTTATTCTTGGATTCGCGTCAGAAGTATGTACGCAGCAGTGGTTGCGATTTGATACGAACATACTCTGTAAGACGCGTGGGATGGATGTATACCTTGCCCGTAATACTGTACCAGGTATTACACCTTTAGGCTAGCTGCGTCGCTCATATATCGGGTCCGGAGCTTGCCATGTACTTGTATATAGCACCATCAGGGCGAACATGGGCCTTTTGTCGGGGAAGGACTACACATATGTACCATGTGAGATAGACCTACCTATCGTCCTATCATACGCTACAGACGTTCCCGGGAACACATGGATATAATATTCATTGGGTACATGATTCTGGAAGACACCAAAACACACCCGACCTACAGTAGGGTTTGGACGCGGAAGTTGCGCGGAAGCGTGGACGATAGCCAATACCCCCAACCCCCGTCGAGATGTGCATGGAGTCTCCGCGCAACGCTGCTTCACACACGCAGCTGGGGGAAGGTACCAAAACCGCCTCGACCTGTGGTTGATGTTTAAGCTAGTAGTGCAGCATCATCATCTGTGTCCATGCGTAAACTCATCAACGTAAAACCACCAACATCTGAGGCAAACGTGTAAGGGGCGCGATCGTTCTTTGTTTTAACTCACAGCATTCCTCCCTGTTATTGTCACGGTGCCACCCAGCCCACAGCAGCCTCGAGACTCCTTCTCTCCCTTGGGTGGGGCTTGGATCTGACTGGGAAGGAACAGGCTCTCTCTCTTGTTGGCAACGGTCTTCTTCTTGGCTCGCGTGTCATCCACGCGGTGCATGGGGGGCTCGTCATGTCTGTTTCGCCGCAACTGCTCGCTCTCATGTCCGTCACCCCGACTCGGAGTGGCGGAGTCACCTCCTGGTCGATCCTCATGGACTTTAGGTGAGATCGGCAACGCTTGGCCTCTCAAGGGTGGGCAGCAGCAAGTGCATCAACAGCAGTAGTTTGCGCCTGCTGTGGTGCTGCAGGGTCAACCTGGCTGTAGGTTGTTTGCAGTACGAACTCTTTAGGCGTGTGTGGAAGAACGTAGGCTTTGGCGGCCCCCCGCCCCCGCTGCTCACACACGTGCCTGCTCGGTTACCGGCTGCATCTGGATAGTGCGTGCGTCGAGCGAAAGGGGCCGTTCTTGCTACGGTTACGATGGCATGAGTAGGGAACCTGTGATGGTTACGACTATGCCATCTCTCCACAATACGTACAAGGGGCCATGTCATCTTGTAGAGTGCGTTCGTCCTGGGGGGCGGCATATATAGTAGGCAGTGTTGAGGGGAAATAGAGAAACGATCTGTGATGTTTTATTGTTTCCCGTCAACTTCACGTCTGTCGTAGGACCAACCCCACCACCGGAAATCCCCCACGCCAACCTTTGTGCACACGGTGGGGCCCCGCGGTCTGTATCATCTTTTGTCGCAAAGCATGCATGCAAAAGCGTGCGAGTGGTTTTCACTGGCACACCTCTTCTGTCTGTCTGTCTGTCTGTCTGTCTGTCTGTCTGTCTGTCTGTCTGTCTGTCTGTCTGTCTGTCTGTCTGCAATTCTCTCTCTCTCTGTTTCCCTCTCTCTCTCCCTTTCTCTGTCGTCTCTCTCTTTCTCTCCTCCCCCCCCTATCCCCCCCCCCCCCCCCCCCTCTTCCCTGTGTCATGCGCGCGTGGTGTGCTACGTCGATCGCACTCGGCGCTGTCGGCCGCTTCGTGCTTGCTTGGCACAATAGATATCCCTTCCCATGGGAAACTACGGCGGCGTTCGTTTTGAGGGTGAAGGCTAAGGGACCCCCAGACGAGATGGTCACTCTGGAGGTGGACCGCAACGTGTGAGATACTTGTAGCAGCAGAATTTGGAGTAGCAGACAAACAGCGATAGCGGCAGCGGGGGCGCCAAGTATCGTGCCTAGAACCACCGCCCTGCCCATACTTATGTTCCGATCCCCGCCAACACCTGTTTGGGTACGTACGTTTTGCTGTATTTCTGTTGCCGTCGTTTTGGATAGCATATCTTCTCCGACGGTCCTAGTTGATTCGTCGATCTTTCTCCCCCCTACCTGACTTTTTTTGCCTCACTTTCGTCTCCCTAGCTGCCATTTTAGTTATCCGAAACGTAACACGCTTGCCGCTGGTGCACCAAACGTGGCATCTACGTTTGTCCCGTGGGTTGCTCCACGCCACCCCACTCTATCCCACCCTACCCCCCTACCGCCAGCTTCAAGTACAACGTGCACATGCCTTGGTACGCCCGGCTAGTCCTCGGAAAGAACATCATTTGGCACGACGTTCTTCACGCGAACCCAACCACCAAGGTACGTTCGTGCTACTGCTGTTGCACTCCTACTCCTGCTGCAACTATGATACAGGACACGTTACTACGCCCTAGGTCACTACAGTGCTGTCGACGTGATCGAGTGTGGCGGCGTGTGTTTTGTCCTACATCTTCCGAATAGAAAAAAATGTAGTATCTACGGGTGTAAATGGTTTCCCAGCAGTCCGTATCTGTTGGTGGGAGGGGAGGCGGCAGTGCCGAGGATTTCGCTCATCACCTCCCTCCAGCCTCATCCTATCGCGGCAACGACTCCCACTTTAATATTTCTGATTGCGCGCTTCAGAACCCTGCTGATGGACGTTCTCTGCTGCTGAGCCCACCTTGATACACATTGCTATGTACAACGTGTGGAAGCTGATCGGGAATCGTGCTGATAGAAGTAACTCCATTGTATGACTGCATTGCGTACTCGTCACCTTCAACCAATTTTCGCCTCCGTGTGTTTCGTTCGTATCGTTTGAATTCTGCTTCCCTCAAAACTGTCTGCTGCAATGTGGTGCATTGATTATTTCCCTGCTGCACTTGCACCCGCTTGTCCAGACGCTGTCTGAAGATGGCATCAACATGAGCCTGCAACGGCTAGGCACGGTGCGGGACTGCTCATCGTGGCGGGCATGCGAGGATGATCCAAACGTGACCATGTACAGTAAGCGAGTGGACTTTGACATCCGCATGCCGGTGGGGCCAACGATCATGATGCAGGTATGGTATCGATCACGTAACGTGGGCCTCTATGATAAGTAGAAGAGTTCAGGTTCTCGGCTAAGGGGTACAAGTATGATCGACTCACTCCCATGCGTATCTTTGATGGGCGTGATTCAGAAAACGGCGTAAATAAATGACTCAGGCCTTTGACACAGCTGTCATTCCACACTACTGGTGTGTGCTCCCGGCGGCAGTCTATCCATGGTGCGCACAAGTCAGATACCCATGCGTTCCCGTGTGCTGAGTCCTTTGTTGTCGTTGAATCGTTAGCGGGGATTGATTGCCACAGAACGCACCAATACTCAAGAACACGCTTTTTGTTCAACCCTTGCTCCATTCTTGATCAGAGCGGAGAAATATCCGGGAATGTAGAACATAGGCGAGTGTGGGTACTGTAAGGATCGAGTTCTTCCATTTCGTGAGATCGAACCCTCAATCAAAATCAATTTCTCGAGCGGTGGCGCGTTCTGTGGTCCACAATGCTTTTCGTCCTGCGCCTAGTGTTTTCTCGGCGATCGGACGTACAACTACTCGGTGTAGTGTATGGTGTAAGAAGGTACACGACGGAGATGAACGGTCGTTTTAAGACATATTGATCCACGTGGCGGTTGGTTTTTGGACACAGCCACAGCGCGGTGGGCATGTGACAAGGCAGGGAGGCTGGGTCATCTACTCGATCGCCGAGGTTCTTTGGCGCTAGCCGCCGTCGGGGGGGGGGGGGGGGGGGGGGGGGG